ACTCTTGTTCAGTATAGTTTTGGAAACATTAGCCTCAGCAATTAGACAAGAGAAAGAAATAAAAGGGATAAAGATAGGAAATGAAGAAGTCAAACTGTCATTATTTGTAGATGACATGATACTCTATATAGAAGACCCAAAGAACTCCACCAAAAGTCTTCTAGACTTAATAACCAAATTCAGCAGAGTAGCTGGATACAAGGTCAACACACAAAAATCAAAGCTTTTCTGTACACAAAAAACAGACTCACTGAGAGAGAAATGGGGCAGTCAATTCCTTTCACAATAGCATCCAAAAAATTTAAATACCTAGGAATCAATCTAACAAAAGAAATCAAAGACCTCTACTCTGAAAACTATAGTGCTCTGAAAAAAGAGATTGAAGAGGATATCAGAAAATGGAAAGACATCCCTTGCTCCTGGGTAGGAACAATAAATACAGTGAAAATGGCCATACTTTCAAAACTGCTATGTAGATTCAATGCAATCCCAACTGAAATCCCAGCAGCATAATTCACAGACCTTGAGAAAACAATCCAAAAAATTCATTTGGAACAAGAAGAGACCTAGAATAGCAAAAGCAATTCTAGGCAACAGAGTTATGGCAGGGCATATCACAACCCCCAATTTGAAACTATACTACAAAGCTACTGTGATAAAAACAGCATGGTACTGGCAAAAAAACAGACCCGAGGGCCATTATAACAGATTTGAAGATGCAGAAACAACTCCAGACAACTCACATACCTCATCTTCAACAAAGGAGCCAAACACTCTCACTGGAGGAAAGACAGCCTCTTAAATAAATGGTGTGGGAAAAATTGTGTTTCAACTTGCCAAAGAATAACCTAGACCTATATCTCTTACCTTGCACTAAACTAAAATCGAAATGCATTAAACATCTAAATATTAAAACAGAAACAGTAAAATGGCTGGAAGAGAGGTTAGGAAGAACTCTTGAAGACATTCGCATAGGAAAAGATTTTATGAACAAAACCTCAGTTGCCAGTGAGCTAGCACAAACAATCAACAAGTGGGATCTCTTCTTACTAAAAAGCTTCTGCACAGCAAGATAAACCATCAAAAAATGTGAAGAGACAACCCACAATGTGGGAAAAATATTTTAGCAGCTGTCCGTCAGACAAAGGTCTACTATCTAGAATATATAAAGAACTGAAAAAACATCAGACCTTCCAAATTGAAAGACCCAATCCAAAAGTGGGCATCTGTAATGAAGAGACATTTGCAGACAAAGAAGTAGAAATAGCAAATAAATATATGAAGAAATGTTCAACATCACTAGTCATTTGAGAGATGCAAATGGAAACAACACTGAGATTCCACCTCACCCCAGAAAGAATGGCTGCTATCATGAAATTAACCAATAACAAATGCTGGTGGGGTTTTGGTGAAAACCAAACGGTGAAAGAGGAACCCTACTCCACTGCTCGTGGTAGTGTAGTCTGGTGCAACCACTGTGAAAATCAGTATGGAGATACCTCAAAGAACTAGGACTGGAAGTCCCATTTGACCCAGCTATTCCCCTGTTCCACTGCTGGGGATCTTCCCCAAAGAATTAAAAGAATCATACCACAGTGATATATGTGCACCCATGTTCATAGCAGCACAATTTGTGATAGCTAAAACTCAGAAGCAAATCAATTGCCCATCAACTGGAGACTGGATAAAGAAATTGTAGGGTTTTTTTTAATAAAAGGGAGTATTACTCAGCCATAAAGAATGAAAAACTAGCGACATTTATAGCTAAATGGATGTATATTGGGGCAATACTCTTAAGTAAAATAAATAGGACACACATGCATAAATACCAAATAGTTTCTCTAGTGTGAGATACTGAAAGTGTAAATAAGGACTAAATGTTATAATAGACATGGTGAAATAGGAAGAAAAGTGGCAAAGGGGAAGGGGAAATTGGAGGATAGGGGAAAAGAAAGAAGGGAATGGAATTAATATGAGAAAAAGAGAAATGGAAACAGAGTCTTTTTTAGATAGGGAGGGGTGGAAGTGTTGAAGGGAGGGCAGGGCAATGGGGAAAAATTAAGAACCAAGATGGATTATGTAAAGGTGCAAATTTCCAATGAAGAATCTCATTATATTGTATACCTTAAATGTAACAATAAAATTAGTAAAAAATTATTTTAAAAAAGAATAAAATATTTCATGTGTTCAACATATTTATATTGGTAAGAACATGGGTATACTATTCTTTAATGTGAAGTGAATAGAAATGTGCTAGATTTTCTAATAATGTGAAAGAGAAAATGGTTTCAGATTGTTCTCTTTTGACTTAGACTACTGCTGAGTGACCACATAAAACAAGTCAAATATTGTTTCTTTTGAAAAAGTGTATGCTTTCCTTAACCTACTGGGGTGATGTTTAGTATTGGATTTATATTTTATTGTCTGAACTCTAATTAATGCTAAAGTACAGTGTCACACATCTTTTTATAAAGCATAATACAAGTTTGTTTTGCCAAATCAAAACTGCCAAGACATTGATAAAAGAAGTACTCTTTCAAAACAAAATCAGCATGATGAAATCCTCATTTTCTTACATATTCAAGCTAGTACTCCACATGAATGCAGTGATTTGAGAATTTGGCTGATAGACAAGCAGCTTGATACAGTACATGTTGCCAAAAGAAATCACAAACTACATGGCACTAAAGCAGAAAATTCACGTTTATTTTCAAAAAAAGGAGAATTTCATGTTTTTACACATTAGTCATTTGGTGAAACTGTGAGACCAGGATAAACCCAAGAAATGCCCCCTCATGCCCCTCCCCTTATAAAATAGATGTTTTTGTAACTGCTTGTTCTGCTTCTGTAAACTTGCTTCATCCCTTCTCAGAAAGAGATAGTGCCTGGTGCCTCCCTTTACTGTAAATTGCCCCAACCTGATAAGACAGCAAAATAGCTGAGTTGTAAAAAACTACTTTTGCAACTAGTCAAAAACATGTTAATCTATCCTTGAACTTCTCTTCTTAAAATAACACCTACAAAAGCTATGCTGTTATAACATCCTATATAAACTGTGCTATTCCTGGACTCAGGGCTTCACTTCACTTAGAGAGTGGAGTCCAAGTGCGTGAAAAAACTTTCAGCTTTAACTTTGTTGTTTGTCCCAGTGTTTGGTGATTTACCGGCTTGCTTGGTACAGCATTCTTGGAGGCCCCAGTGAGATATCACCATCACTCAGTAACTTCTGACCAGTGGACAGCCCCTGTCTCAGGCTGCAGTGGCCTGAGTCCTGGGGAGGCCACCCTGACCATCTGATCAGGGCCCTGGGGGCTCGGATCTCCAGTGGAGGATTTGGGTCATTCCAGCCATACTGAGAGGAGTTTATCTGGAAAACCTCTGGAGGTCAGGTAAGAATCTTATGATTCTCAGTTGTCAGTCAGTGCATCCAAAACAGGGTGAAAGGGAAGTCGGATGTGACAGTAATTCTCCCACTCGGGGCTTCATTGTGACGATGGGAAGCCTTCTGGTCAGTTTACCCCGGGGTCTGGTTTGTCTGTCTAAATATTTGTGGGTATAGTTTGTCTAAATTTCTGTGTATCTGTTGTCTGTTGTCTGTCAGCTTGCCCTGTGTGCCTTTTCCTTTCAGTTTTGTTCTACAGTGAGCCATGGGATCTGAATTGTCTACCCCATCAACCCCCCTTAAGTGTGTTTTACAATATTTCTCACAAATTTATACCCCACAGAAAACCGAAGAATATGGAATCAAATTCTCAAAAGGAAAACTCCGGACCCTGTGCCAATCAGAGTGGCCATTGTTTGGGGTGGGATGGCCAAGTGTGGGAAGTTTTAGCATTCAGACTACCCAACAGGTTTGGAATTGGGTTACAGGAAAGGGAGGTCCCTGTCACCCTGATCAGTTCCCTTATATTGATATGTAAATGGACCTGGTAAAAGACCCCTCTTTCCTTGCCTGTCCGGGAATTAGGTCATCTAGGTTTAGTAAAGATAAGGTCCATCATCATTTCCTCCAATGACAGACTTCCCCAGACTCAAGAGACGTTTTTGACACTAAACCCTTTCAAAATGTAGGGTTTTCCAGGCTCCGTGGGACAAGGACGACTTCCAACCTCATCCACCCCCATATCAGGCCAAGGATGAAAAACCTGAAAAAGATCCTGACTCTCCTTCTGCTTCCACCCCCCACTAATCACTCTGCCTCCCTGCCCACCTGGCCCCCTGTCTCCCCCTCATACCCAATCAGGACAAACTTGAGTCACAAGGGACAACTAGTCAGGTAATGTCCACAGTCCTTCCTTTAAAACAGGTTGAGCCAGGTGGTGGATTTGTATAAGTTCCCTTTACTACTAGTGACCTTTATAATTGAAAAAAATCAAGTTCCTCCTTTTTCAGAAAAACCCCAGGCTTTAATTAATCTTCTAGAGTCTGTTTTCCATACTCATCAGCCCACCAGGGACGACTGCCAACAGCTGCTCTACACCCTCTTCACTAGAGGGGCCGGATTTTCCAAGAGGCTGTTAAGGCAGCCCTAAAACTAAACCCAGACCTTGGTCCCAGCACTCTGGCTTATCTGCAGAGAACAGAGGCCAAGGTGCCAACCCACCAACCGGATTGGGAGCCCAACACTGACGCAGGTAGGAGAGATTTGGCCAGTTACCGCCAGTGCCTTTTACAGGGACTCTGCCAAGCAGCTAGGAAGCCAACTAATCTGACTAAGGTGAGTGAGGTAAAACAGAATAAAACTGAGTCCCCACAGCTTTCCTGGAGCACCTCCTAGAGGTGTATCGGGTCTATACACCCATTAATCCTGATGCTCCAGAAAATGCAGCCACGGTGAATCTGGCTTTTGTGTCACAATCAGCCCCAGATACTAGAAAAAAACTTCAGAGATTGGAAGGGTTTTGAGGGAAAAAACAGGTCCAAGCTCCTGAGTATAGCACAAAAGGTTTTTGACAACTGGGACTCCCCAGAAGAGACAATCTCCAAGTAGTTAAAAAAGTTACTATTGCTACTCTCAAAAACTATGAGACAAGTAAACAGACTGGGAGACCTAAGCTGGAGAGACCCCCATGGCCTAAGCTCTGAAAGGACCAATGTGCCTATTACAAACAGACTGGACATTGGAGAAATGAGTGCCCCCTCGAAAGAAAGAAAAAAGAGGGACAGAAGCCACTACCTTAAACCCTGCAACCCTGCTGCCTGCCTCAGACCTGATGACCCCACTACCTGACTGCCAGGAGACCCTCCAGGACATAACCTCGATGACCAGACCTGATTTGGGGGATGTGCCCCTAAAAGACCCTGAGGAGACATTTTTCATGGATATAAACAGGTTCATCTAACAAGAGGTCAGGTATTTGGGAGTGGCCATGTTGGATGGCCAGGGAGTGACAAGGTGGGCTGCTGCTCTGGGATCTGAAACTTCAGCCCAATGAACAGAGCTGATGACTCTTACTCAGGCCTTAAACCTGGGTGAAGGGAAGGTTGTCAACATCTACATGGGTAGTTGATATGCCTTTGCAACTATACATGTTCATGGAGCGATATATAAACAATGGGGCCTGCTCACGTTAGGAGGGAAAGACATCAAAAACAAACATGAGATTTTAGCTCTGCTAAAAACAGTATGGAAACCTAAATCAGTGGCTATAATACACTACAATGGTCATCAGAGGCCTGACACACTGGAGGCCATAGAAAATCAAAAGGTTGATCTAGCTGCTAAATTGGCTGCCAGAAAACCAGTGGGGATGGCCCCCACCCTGCCCCTTAAAGCTTTTCCTGAGCTGCCAGCTATGCCACACTATTCATCAGAAAGAAAAAAAAAATACACCCAGGTAGGGGCTGTACAAGATAAAAATGGATGGTGGAGTCATCCTGATGGCCTAGTCTGCTTGCCTCAAGCTCTTGGTCGACAGCTAACTTAACAGACACACCAGTTTACTCACCTGGGAGAAAAAAAACTCAGGCAATTGATAAGTTCCAGGTTCTCAACTCCTAAGCTGGCTTCCATGGTCCAGGATGTTTGCGCTCGGTGCCAGACATATGCCCAGGTAAGTGCCAAGACAATGCTCAGAGGCGAGGGAACCTGATGCCGAGGTAAACATCCAGGGAATTTTGGAAATTGGATTTTACTGAAGTTAACCCTAGCCTCGGATATAGGTACCTGTTAGTTTGGGTAGATACTTACTCTGGATGGGTAAAAGCTTTCCCGACTAAAGGAGAGACAGCTATAATAGTTAGTAAAAAGTTATTACAGGAGCTAATCCCCCGATTTGGCCTCCCCCATACTCTAGGGTCTGACAATGGCCCGGTCTTCACAGCCAAGATATCCCAATTGGTGGCCAAGGCCCTTAACATTGATTGACAGCTTCATTGTGCCTATCGGCCACAAAGTTCAGGCAAGTAAAAAAGATAAATCATATGTTAAAGAGACATTAACTAAGTTTGTTTTAAAAACTGGAAAAAACTGGCCAGATCTCCTCCCACTGGCCCTCTTGCAGGCTAGGTGCACTCCTTATATAGAAAAGGTAACTCCTTATGAAATCATGTTCAGGAGACCACCTCCTTTATTGCCCAGGGTAAATTAAAAAAATATATCAGAATGTAAAAATCATACTTTGTTAAATTATTTAAAGACCCTCCAGGTAATCCAACAGGAGCTGCAAAATTGAGTTCGGGAGGCAAGGCCAGCCCCTCAACCTGAAAACTGCTCCTGAATACACCCCAGGGGACAAATGGAAGATCATCAGTCAACCAGGTGACAAAAAGCTAAGACTAAAAAGGGACAAATGATGTTTGCTGTATTGACCTGTAATTCAACATTTGTTATGATTATTATTTTGAAGTCATTATTTTCTGAAACATTGACAATATTAACCCAAAGACAATTAGACTTTGTTGGTAATGTTTGGATTCAGTGACACAAATCACTTAATCTGTCTAAGTTCTGTTTAAATATAGATATAAATTTCCATTATATATTAGGAAGTTGTCTCATCCTGGTGTGTACTCCTTTAAGTCTGAGACTGCCTTATACCCTGTTTAAAGACATCTCAGAAAAAAATCTTACATATAAAGATAGTTACAATTGGGAAACCCCCTCTTATTTTAAACCAAAAAATGCTATTAAGTTATATACACCTCAGGTGATTCTGTTAAATCATACACAATGTGCTTTATATAAAAACTGTACTACAAGATGTCTAAAGTTAAAAAGATCAAAAAAATTTACTTGTTATAAAAAACAAGAGATCATATACGGTGAGGGTTATATACCCTTACCATTAGGATGGTTTTATACATGTAAAAAAAAAAAAGTTTAATTATATCCCCGCCTACTTGTCTGAGGCCCAGTGCTGCTTGAGTTGATTGGCCAAAATATTGCCCGACTGAACTGATTTGATAGTGCCCAACAGAGTTAAATGATGGTCACCCTATCCTAAACCAGGATGTCATGATGATGTAGGTCTTTTAACAGATACTGAAGTAATATCTATGATAGCATCTGTGGTTGCTCTGCCTTCTGTAGGGGTTCATGCTGAAAAGGTGGTATGAAAATTGACATGTAAGGTGGTCAAAGGTTTAAATACTACCTCATCTGCATTGGCATTAATTAATCAAAAATTACAAGAACACTGACAAGCCATACTAGACAACAGGGTAGGATTACTTGCTCCTACTCCATTATCAAAGATGTAAAAAAGTAAAAAATATGTGTTGTTTTAATACGACCGACAACAGCCCAGGGATACAAAAAAAAAATAAAACAATTTTAAAAAGTTGGCAGAAAAAGTACATAATAAAAACTTAGGATGGGATTTGTTCCGCTGGTTAATCCAGTGGTTGCCTGACATACAATGGTTAAAACAGCTTTTTCTTGTAGTCATAGTTGTGATTGTGTGCTTATTATCATGTTGCTACATGCTAAAGGTTATAACTAGGTATGTGTCCAAACAAATAGACAATGTAAAAATCATTTTGTTAAGCCAGTTGTATAAACCATTGCTTCAAAAAAAAAAAGGAGATTATGTAAAAATGAGATGTAGAGATGAGATGATGAATCAAAGGTTTGATTCTGTACAAAAACCAGTGGGGATTGTGAGACCAGGATAAACCCAAGAAATGCCCTCTCATGCCCCTCCCCTTATAAAATAGATGTTTTTGTAACTGCTTGTTCTGCTTCTGTAAACTTGCTTCATCCCTTCTCAGAAAGAGATAGTGCCTGGTGCCTCCCTTTACTGTAAATTGCCCCAACCTGATAAGACAGCAAGATAGCTGAGTTGTAAAAAACTACTTTTGCAACTAGTCAAAAACATGTTAATCTACCCTTGAACTTCTCTTCTTAAAATAACACCTACAAAAGCTATGCTGTTATAACACCCTATATAAACTGTGCTGTTCCTGGACTCAGGGCTTCACTTCGCTTAGGGAGTGGAGTGCACGTGTGTGAATAAACTCCTTTCAGTTTTAACTTTGTTGTATGTCCCAGTGTTTGGTGATTTACTGGCTCGCTTGGTACAACAGAAACATTAATATTTATTTAAAAAATAATAAAGAAAAAGAAATCATGTTTTGTATAAAATTACTGTTTTAAAAAATTAAAACATAGAGACTCCCTAATATTTCATTAAAACTACCTAGAGGATAATAGGGTTTAACATTCCATTAGCATTTGTAGCATGATAGTAAGATAGTTTGTACATTAAAGATCATATTGTATAACACATTCTAGGATTACATAAATCTCTGTCCAAGTTTGGATTTACTTCAGGTCATGGAATGGACTCTAAAAAGGGTATGAGGTCAGGAAAGACAAGAAAAAGTTTCAGTACCATTTGCAAGCACAATACTTTGTAGGATTCCCTGAATATTTGCAAACAATGTCTTCTGTGGTTGCGGTTCGTCTTGTAGTTTATGCCATTTCATAGTAATAAAAGCCTTTGTTAAAGTTCAATTCCATAGAAAAAAGTAAAATATGTAGACTCTGAGTTTAGACAAATCTGAAAAATAGCCCAGTTCTGCGACCTTAAACAATTTACTTAACACGTGTAAATCGGTTTTCTTGTCTGTAGAATTGGAATTATATATTAGTTTCTTCAATATAAATTTAAGCGATTACCGTGTTCTTGCAAACACTGAAAATCCAAGTATTGTGCCAATGACAAAGATAAAGACCCACCCTTTATGCTACTGGAGGCACTAGACAGTAAAATAAAGAAATAATCAGTTATATAGGATACTGTTATGGCTTAGATCTGAAGTGTCTCCTTTCACGTATTTGGAAGATTATTGGATCATGGAGCTACTATATTCACCAGTGCATTAATGAATTGATGAATTCATAAGTGAGTTGTTGTCATAAGGTGGGGCCTGGTCAGAGGAAGATCACTGAGTTGTGGCATTACCTGGAAGGACATGGCTCCCTCCCAGGCTCTCCTTTCTCTCTTTACTTCCTGACTGGCATGAATTGAACTCCTTTTTCTCTATCATGCTTCTCAGATATCCTGTTTCTGTTGAACATGGACTGGATTTGTGAGTCAAAAGAAACTTCTCCTCCTTTTAATTTCAGGTGTTAGGTATTGTGTCTCAGAGATCTGGGAAAAATAAGACAGCAGGGAAGAATACAGACAAGACTAGAGTGAGTGGGAAGAGTAAAAGATTTTTAAAACACACAATTTGAGATCTCTTTGAGGAAATGGCTTTTGAGAAGAAAAATAATGAGAAGTCATATTTTAAGTAAAGGGAACAAGAAACAAAAAACAGGTAAGAATATGTAAAAAGCTACATTTGTTAAAGATATCAGCTTTGGTTTCAGCAGAGAAATTCAAAAGGTGTAGTGAGTTAAAAACAAACAAACAAAAACCTGCTAAAATATCCAGGTCCTCATCCCCAGTGTGTGAATGCTGCCTTATATGACAAAAGGAAATTTTCCAGATGTGGTTAAGAATGGTGAAATAAGGGATTTATCTTGGATCATATAAATAAAACTTATCTGTACTTGCATGTGTATTTATAACATAGAGGCAGAAGGACATTTGGCTGTAGGAAACAGGAAGTAAGAGGATGGTGTGACACAGATAAGGAGTCACCAGCTAAGGATTTGGGAAGCAGGAAAAGGCAAACAGATTCTGCTGTGAAGCCTGTTGGAAAAAAAGCCTTGCTGACCATCTGATCTGGTTTTGGACTTCTAGCCTCTAGAGATATAAGGTAACTTTGTGTTGTTTTAAGGCAAGATATTTGTGGTAATTAGTTAACAGCAGTAATTGGTAATGAATTCATGGAAAAACAACAGAAAATGACTTCAGAAAGGCAGTAGTGACTGGAACATTTGAGGCACTGTAGAAAGATAATAGTAAAGGTAAAGGCCGTTAGAAGCTCCTGTTAATATTGTAAACAACAGATTTCAGTGAATCAGATCCAGATAGTTGTGGTGGTTGAAGACAGGGAAATACATGTTTAAGGTGGAGTCCATAGAGTATGCTAATGACGAGAGGCTGTAGAGTGAAGAAGAAAATCATCCAACAGCCTGTATCATCCAGGTTATTGTGCACCATTCATGAGAGATGGCTAAATTTGCATGCTGATTATGACAGCTAGTTGAAAGGGAATCAGGAGTTAATATTTGGACAATATTCTATTTTAAGCAGTGGAGTTGCTTTAAACTTGAACTAATGAATAAAGACTCATGGAAAAGGAATATTCAGGGACAATTCGAGCAGTAGCCCTTTACACTCCCAATTCCCATGGGATACTTAAAGCCATACTATGACAAACAAAAGATAAGCCTTTTGCAAGGACAACAAAAGCAATTTATTATTCTTTTATATTTTTTATAATAATTCTATCCAAAATTCAAATTGACATTTTAATTAATATTTGAGAAAAATTCTGGCAGACAAAAGAAGACATAATACTAAGTTTAAAAAATGAAAATGCTAATTGATATGGATAATGTGATGATAAATAAAGGCACAAGTTAAAATCAGTAAGCTCACAAAGAAATTAAATCAAGAAACAGTTTGGGACTTCAGTAGTTTGGAATGATAGCTCATATTATCCTAAGTCAAAATAAGTTTGGAATTTCATGGATGTAACCAATTCAGAACAGCAAAAAATGATAGCATTACTGAAATGAAACTCATAAAAATTTCTCATGATAATAGCATTTGTGACAGCAAAACAAAATTCTAACTTTATTCTGAATTTCACTGGTCATTTGAGAGACGCAGATGAAGACAACACTGAGATTCCACCTCACCCCAGAAAGAATGGCTGCTATCAAGAAATCAACCAATAACAAATGCTGGTGGGGGTGTGGAGAGAAAGGAACCCTTCTCCATTGTTGGTGGGAG